GTATTAAGGAGAGCACGTATTGCATGGAACACTGGGTGTCATAAGCAAACAATGATTCACGGAACACTACATCAAAAACTAATGATGTACTGTATGATGACTAACATAATAAAATTTTAAAAAAACAAAAACAAAAACAAAAAAATTGTTTCATCAGCTACTTATGTAAACAAAGTTTCTTGTCAATGGTGACAACCAAGAATTTGAAGACCTATTAAAATATCTTGATCGAGAACTGGATATAGCCGTATCAAGCATGCAACTTGATATTTACCAGTTCTGTCTAGAAAGCAAGATCAAGTTTCTCATTAAGGTGTTTTAAAAATGTGTCTGGGAATTTTACACAAAATCAGTATTTAAAATCTTCTCTAATACTTGGGTTTTACTGATTTTCGTTATAGCATATGAAGAAAATATAGTATTTTGTTCTTCTAACTGCCAAATAAACACTCAAAATACTCTTTAACTTAGTGCTATGAAAACACTTCATTTTCTATGTGCACCATGATGTAAAAAAGGTCGGGCTTGGAATGGAGTAGAGTGAGCCACATTATCACATAGAGAACAAGATTTCACAGTATTTATTTACTACATTAACATTCTAAGCAGAGGATGATGCTCTTGGCTCCTTTCCCTTTTAAAATTTAGATCAGAATTTATCACATATACCACCACCACTACTGTTCCATCTCATAAAAAACCTGCAAGAAATGTTCAGATTATATATGGTCTCCCTTTGTATGTTACCAAATCTTACTCATTATCCTCTGTACAGCCAGCTCGGAAAACCCAACCCCGTGACCCTTTCCCCTCAGAATTCCTCTTCCCTCTGCTTTGAGCCTTTTCACACATCAGGTTATCTTTTGACAAACAATAATGGCGTCTTATCTCATAAGCAACTTGAGAAGATCCCTGTCTTAACTTCTTCGTATCCCCCATGATTCTGAGAATACACTAAGTAAGCTCTTCATGGTCATCACTAATTACTACAATGCTGCTTGGAGAATCAAACGTTAGGAATGAATTGAGATCAACTAATGATTTGTTTTCTTTGTAATACAGATTCATTTTTTGAAAATATGAAAAATATGGGTAAAAATCACAATTCTATTCAGAAATATCCATCTTTATCCCTTTTCTTCCTGTCTTTTTCTGCACATGCATGCATTATATAAGCTGCATTTTTAAAAAATAAAATTTGAATTCGAGTATATGGAGTTGGTGTTTGCTTTTCCATTTAATATAATTGTAGGGTTTTCACCATGCCAAGTAAATTATGGCACATCCAGATATTTTACAAATAATAAAATGATGTCTTAGAACAGTGCTTCTCAAATTTTAATGAGCATATAAATCACCTGGGATTGTTACAATACAGATTCTGGTTCAATAGGTCTTGAGATGGATCCCAAGATTCTGTATTTCTAACAACCTCCCAGATGATGCCGACACTGCTGGTCTGTGGACCACACTTTGAGTAGCAAGGGCTTAGAAAATACTATATATTGCAGGGATGATGAACACACATAATTTTCAATGTCTGGCTCATATGCAGTGAAATACCTTATCAATGGAGTGATAAGAATCCTTACACACAATGCAGGAGTAATACAAATATTTATCAAGTGTGTACTATGTACGCATATAGGCACAAAGATCATTAAAAACCTAATTACTGGTCAATGTCAATAGATATCAATCCTTCCAAGACTCTGGATGCATACAGTCAAAGGACATTCCATAGTGACAAAAAGCAGACCAGTGGTTTCCAGGGAACAAAGGGTAAGGCACAGAGGGAGGAAACTTTTAGGGGTGGTGGGTATGTTCATTATCTTGATTGTGGTGATATTTTCATGGATATTTTATATGTAAAATCTGTTAGAATGTATCAAATTGTACACTTTAAATATATGCAGTTCACTGTCAATTACACGGTAAAGTTATTTTTTTTAAATACAGGGGGAGGGGAGGAGCCACAGAATCTGTTCCAGAAATGTCTTTACATTCTACCAGCTGCATCTGCAAGCGCCTACCTCATCACACCTTCTTCGGCAGTACTGCAATTCTTGAAAAAACAAAACTGCTAATTTAAAAGGCAAACATATCTCATTTTTTTGAATGTGCATGGTTTTGATTAGTAGTAGACTGAAATCTTTTTGTGTTGATCAGTTCTTTGCTCATTTTTGTTACATGAGTGTTTCTTATCAACTTATAGGGGCTCTTTAGATATTTGCCAAAAATATATCATCTATTTTTTCCCCCTCGGCTTGATGTTTGCCTTTTTGTATACTTGGCGTAATTGTAATTTATGTAGACATTTTAGAGAAGTTCAAGACTAAAAAAATAAATAACAATAATAATCTTAACATAGCTCCACACACACACAAGACTCAAAGTTTAGAACACAGAATTAGACATAAATGAAATTAAAGTCTTTTCCAAACACCTAATTTCTTTCACAAGATGGCTGACTTATCACCACAGAAGCAAGCCATGTATATAAACACATCAACTTCTACCTTTCACATTCACTCTTTTGGTTGGTTGATACAGTAAAACAGGTTAGTTTCATCATTTCTACAGTGTGGAGACAGTGGTACTGATATAAAATATTTTGTGACTTGATTAAGAGTAGTCATAATTTGGATTTATAAACTCCCTAGTGATCCTCACTGTATGAGAAATGGGTCTATGAAATCAAACTGGGGCTGTGTGGTTTGGGTTTTTTTGTTTTTGTTTTTGTTTTTTGAGTCAGTTGAATGAATACCAGAAAAGGAGAATATGTAAATATTCTCCTAGAGGAATGAATCTTTCTATCCTGAGACTTATATATTATTAAATTGTTTCCCTTTGCTGTACATGGAGTCTCACAAGACTTTTTTAGACTACAAACTAATAAAGAATGCCGATACTAGTAATACTAGTATAAAAAAGGAATGCCTTTTTAATCTGCCATGCCAACCGGTACAAATGCAAAGAAACTACTTCCTCAAAAGGTAGTTACAAGTATTCATAAAATTGTCCAGTCCTTTGAACATGAGCTGTAATTAGCCACTAGAAGCAACAGACATATACGTAACATTTAAAGAATGAATTTTAGTTTCTTTAATAAAATATTTTCAACTCTCATTCTGAAGCTTCTAAGGGTTAAATTGTTGGGCCAAGGACACAAAGCTAAGTGCTGTGCAATCTGGAACCAGAATCCAGATTTCCTGAGACCCAAGCCAAAGGGCAGTAGAGGATGGAATGATGTGGGCATCAGTGACGGGGCTGAGACTCAGGAAAATCAAGTTCTTTGAGCTCTAACTTCCTCAACCATAAAATGAGGGAGGTGGGTTAAATGATTGCCAAATTTCCTTTCAGCCCTAACCTTTCCCAAATGCAGGCCGGATAAGTGGATAAAATCTCTGACAGTTGAGCAGTCCTGTGCTGGAGCTTTTTTATGGTCGCCCCAGGGTTCAACTCTCTTAAGCCCGAGTCAGCTCAGGCTCACACTTCCAGCCCTGCCCTACTACCTGCATAGTCGTGGCAAATAATGTATCCCCATATTAGAGATAAGGAAATGAGGGCCCTCAAGAGGATCCTAATAGAGCTGTACCTCTAAGAGTTAAGATAATGAAAAGAGAGCATAGGTGTGAGAATTTAGCTGGGTCTGGCAGAGAGCAAGATGTCCAGAAATTGCAGGTCTGTGTATTTGGGGTACCTTAGTTCATCCGGGCTGATGTTAACAGAATGCCATCAACTCGGTGGCTTATCAACAACAATTTATTTCTCACAGTTCTGGAGGCTAGGAAGTCCAAGACCAAGACGCTGGTGGACTCAGCGTCTGGTGGGGGCCTCCTCCCTGCTCACAGAAGGTCATCTCCTCACCGTGCCCTCACATAGCAGAAACAACAAGGGAGCTGTCTGGGGCCTCTTTTATAAGAATACAATACAGTTCATGAGGGCTCCACCTTCGTGGACTAACCACCCCTCAATGCTCTACCTCAAATACCATCACATTGGGGGTTAGGTTTCAACATAGGAATTCGGAGGGGGCGACACAAACATCCAGTCTCTTGCATGGAGGTAAAATCACTCCAACTTAACATGGCATCAAGATTCATAAATGAAAGTCCCTGTGTCCACAGTGAGTCAAACACTAGGCAGACAGCTATACCACAGATTTGAACAAATATTTCAATAAAAGAATGAACAAATGTAATTGAAAAGCAGGCCTCAGGTCTGACTCACAACATAGTTCAGCTATATATTTAATCTAAATGACTTCATAGTTCAGCTATATAATTAATCTAAATGACTTCATGAAATGGTGGAAGGGAGAGAGGGAAAGGAAGGGAAAGGAAGGACCTCAGCAATGGCGAAAGTGACGTGAGCAGCCCACAGCCTACCAGGTTTAATAAGTTTGGACTCCTTGCCATCTCTGCACGGTCTCATCTGTGCATCTTTCCATGGGACCCACGAACCACTCCCACCTCGAATGCCTGTTAGAAACGCAGACGCCCCATCCACAGCCATCCCACCCATGCTATTTCGTTATTTCTTACACATGCTGCAATTCGAGCACCCGGCTACCATGTGGTCAAACTGAAAAACGTGGTCAATGCCTGAGTCCCGGACAGCTTACCGAGAGAGTGCAGATGCGCAGATTTTGAACACAGGGACTGCCCAAGCCACCTCAGCCCATCCCAACTAAGGAACCAGTGTTCAATGCATCAACGCTAACGAGCAAAAGTAAACCCTACAGCCCACGAATCTGTCAAATATCTGGGCCCTGGAGGGAATAGGTATGGTTGGAAAAGTGACCCTTCTGGAGTCACCTTCTAAAATGGGAAAAACAACATTTCTTCCACTCTTAAAATTAATTTTAACAGTGAACTGAGGTGACACTTTCTGTTACGGTGAGCAGTAAGGTGAATTCCACCGACAATTGAATTGTAGTCTTTATTAAAGTTCTTTTACAAACTTATGTCTGCTAATACGAAAAGGCTGCTTCGACTTTAACACGTGCTTTGCAGATTTACATCAGCAGTAAGAAAGGCTTCAGCTGAGTAGAGTCTGGTCTTCAAAAGTGTGACTACATCCTGCATCTCCAGCCTTTCCACCTCCCAATTACGGACCTTACCAAAGAAGGGGGAAAATCATCAGTTTGCAAAAAGACGATGACAGTAAAATAAAAACTAGTTTCGAGATCCAAGCATATCAAAGTAACATCAAGCCAACTGGTTTTTAAAAACAAGTGTTATCTTATAATTACTCATATTTTAAAGGTTTAGTAAGACTATGTGCTAGGGCTGAAGAAAGCTCTACCAGTGAAAATTCTAAAAACTTTAAAGGCCCTCTAAAGTGTGCAAAGACTCCCTTCTTGGGATAATCTTCCTAAGAATTCATATAATATCCATTATGTGGGGAAAAAAAAGTCTTAAATAGTAGCCCATTAAGAGAAACGTGCCATCTTAACCTCAGTAATCTGCACGTAATCTGTATTTAGATACAAAAAGTACCATAATGAAGATGAGTATGTTCACACTTCACATTATGTGCAGGACCAAATGAGTGGCATTTAGATAGATCCCAACATTAACATATATAATTTCATTCATAAGGTTCTTGCTCCATACAGAGACATCTGGAGAGGCTAGCCAAGCAAAGCTGTGGAGCTTGGAATCAAAATGAGGTGTGAGAGGGAAGAAGAACTCTCCTCTCATGCCCATCTAGCTTTTCCCGGCGACAAACATCCTACAACAGCCTCACACCAGCCCATGAAAACAAAGCTTTAATTCACATCTTTTCTTCCCTTGTTCGAGAAACTCTGGAAACTGAATATCATGTCATGGGTCTTAAATTAAATAAGAAAACTAATTATTTACATTTCTCCTCTTAACAAAAAGGAATAAAATTGACCAAACGTAGCACTTATAAAACTCCTGGTAAATAATAGTTATCAGCTGACTAGAAACCACATCATGAACAGAAATTTTCTTTTCCAAAGAAAAAATAACTAAGGCACTTATTCCAACACTGCTGACAATTCCTCTAGAGTCCTCGTAACCAAGCTCAATCACAACATCCCCGGCAGAATGGATATCAGTAACTGAAAAGTATTTCGTTTGCGTTTTTTTCTTACCAAGATTACGTGAAAACCCATTACTTTCAAATGTCGCATTTTCATAGCAAGGAATCCTCTGGGGTGGGCTAAATCCAAACAGTAAGTAGATCTAGGAACACACAGTACAGCTACTCTGAAAATGAAAATGCACAAAAGAAGACCCATTACTAATGAGATTACATCTACAATCGTGCTGCATTCCTGTTCTTTGGAGATTTCAAAGTCGAGTTCTCTGCTGACCACAGTTGTCACCATTCCCTCCTGCCCTGACTGTCCTCCACATTGTTCGTTGGCCTCTGCAAATACTCCAGTGTATGAAGGCTACAGACACCAAAAGCTTATGATAACGCTTTACATCATTATCCCTCAACCATCTTTAAGGATGGCTATATTCTTGATGAGGAAAATCTCCAGATAGAAAAGCATTTTAAGGCCTTCCTGTGCAGTGTTCATCTCTGATCTAAATATAATTATTTATGCTACTAGAAGTATTGATGTAGATAAACCAAATGACAAATGCTCTCGTTGTACATATTGTCTCCCAGAGAGAGAAGCATTTAAAAACCAGAACAGAGAGAGCATATACAAAGAAGAAAACACTACGAGAAAGGCCAGACTGTTAAAAAGATAAAATCTGTATGTGTAACAAAACATGGAAGGTGTAATTTGTTTTTTCATTGTTCTTGGCCTTTTGGAAAGATTAAGTTGGTTGGGGGAAAAACAAGACCTCTGTATCCTTCCTGTCTTCTGTTATACTTTGGCTGTTATCTGAGATAACATAAGAGAAATTTTATTTTTTAAAGGAATACTCATATTCCTTACTTCTCCTCAGTACTTTAGGCTGAGAGTTGCTATATTATGAGGCCCAAACAGTGGAGTACCTGAAAATGAAAAATTATCTTTCACAGAGGTCAAAGAGAAAGACTTTCTTTCAGAGGAGACGGGTAATGTGTATAGGCAAGGTCACAGTGAAAAAGATGGCCGAGGACCAAGCTAGATGGATTCAGAAAGGGGTCAAGTTTACAGAGTTGGAGGAGAATGGAAAGGCACTGAGCAGACAGAGTGTGAAGCCCCACAGATTTCTGTTCTCTACTGTAATTATGTGCATGTCCTATGAAGCAATGGGGACAGAAGTTCCTTGGAGTCACAACCCATGTCTGACTCATCTTTGTCTGCCCCGCAGGGCCTTTCCACAAAGACTGACTGAACACAGGGTGTGTGCAACACGACCTGAAGCATCTGCATGGATAATTTCAATTATGTCAATGTTGTTCTATTGTAGTACTCTGCTTTAAAACCTAATTTGTAAAAATTGCCTATTTCATTACATGGCTCAACTCCAGTCCATTGTCTTTAAGGAATGTCTGCATTTACACCTAAGTGGTAGATTAATGGATGATAAGTCTCTTGGTATATTACAAGCTCTGCACAAATAGGTCTTAATATTGTTACTGCTGCTTAATATGAAGTCTTTGAGAATTAAATTCAGAAAGCTCAGCAAATGAATATATGTCAGCAACCTTTGAGTATCTGCAGCGGAAGTTACCACGTTGGAAAATGGAAGCACTTGACTCCTGTTAATATCCATTCTTACTTCAAAATCTGAAAGAAAATAATTAATTTTTCAAACACTGCTCAAAGTGATACTCTGTTTCCAAATGTATACTAACCCTACCAATAATGATAATGGCATCAGAGGCAACATATGATGAGCGCACCATGTGCCAGACTCCAGTCTGGGGTTTACACGCATCACCTCATTTATTCACCACAGGAGCCCAAATGAGGCGGGCACTCCATCTACTGCCACTTTACGGGCGAGGGGACGGAGCAAGGGGACAGAGCAAGGGGATGGAGCAAGCGCCTCACGAACACAGCACCAGCACATACAGAGCAAGACTCCGAACCGGCAGTCCAGCTCCGGAGCCAACGCTCCACCAACCTGCCGTGGAGAACTCCTCATCTTCGCCCGAAATAAAGGAAAATAAATAAAATACAATAGAGGAAAACCAAAGAAAGCCCCATACCGATATGGTAATTGTGTGGCAACTGTCTGTTTTTTGAGAAGTATCCTTCTCCCAGAAGGCTACTTAGCGCATCTGCCACCTTCACATTTGGATACAATGCCGTGGACGGCAGCGGTGGTGGGGCCAAATCTACCGCGTTGTGACAAGAAATATCCAGTTTTAGGCAAGCAGCCAAAATACGAAGCTTGTGAGCATTCCTCTCGTCACCTAAAAAAAGGAGAAAAAAAATATACAGTAGAGAAGAAGTATTAATGCCACGGTTAAGACACTGTATTAATGTACCTATATTTCTAATGATCTGTTTCTTATCAGGAGGAACCTCTCTGTGTCTCCCTAGTTCCCAGTGCCTACACTGGTGCCCGGTATTTGATTATGCTTTAAAGTTTAAAAGATCTTTCTGGGTGATTTAGTCTTAACTCTTCACTGAATGATGAGCAATGCCCAGGAAGGTTCAAATGCCTCATGATTTACCAACGGTCAAGTTGGGACTCAAATCCATGTTTCCTGGGTTTAAGGCTGTTTCCCCCACTGTCACTGCTTAAAACAATCAGCACGTGCTGTTCCTTCTTCACAGTCTGACTTTGGAATTTCCCAACATTGTTTTTAAAAGAATTTAAACTTCTCTATTCTCAGACACATTACTGAATTTTGTACATCTAGCCGGATATTGCTTTTATTTAATATTAAAGACCAAAGTCAACAATTAATTTCATTCCAGGAGTAATTAAGTTCACTACTTTGGGAACTATCTGACTGCTTGATCTAAGAGCCTGTGTCCTCATTATAGGCCAGGAGTGACAAAGTGATTCGGGCTGCAAAAGCTGACTGAACTCAGCTCCAAAGGCGACATTAAGGATTAGGAAGTACAAACACCTCTGATGAAGACAAAGAACACTGTGAACATGCAGCCTTCACACAGGTGCAGACGGTATAAATAAAAGGAACAATGACGGTGCGTTTCTGATCCTTGCCTTCTGTACGTAAGAGTCTCTCATTAAAGGAGGCTGCATAGCTTTGCTGGTTTGAAGCACTGACCTCTGACTTCACCATTTTGGGTCCTTTCCTCAGTAGCATCTGCTCTGCACGTTTTAACCAACTCTGCTCCAACGATGACCCCATTCAGTATCACAAGGTAGTTAGCTAGTGGGACTGCCTTATATCAGTCACCACTGTATGCTGACACCATACCTGACATCAGCAGTTCATTGATGATGTCCTTTTGGAGAAGTGGATTAATAAGGGCCATGGGAAAATGGTTCATCAAGCAAAATGAACACACAGCATTCAACAGATTTTCTGAAGAGATGTGGCGGAGATAACCAGTCAGAGAAGTAGCCATAACTTCTTGGAACCTTCAGGGGAACAAAGAACAGTCAGCTTTCAAATATAAATAGAAGACAAGGTCGTGGTAGGGAGAGTAGAGTGCTAGAGAACTAAAGAAAGGAAGTAAGAAAATCAGACTGGCATTATGTCTTTCAGGTCGGGTGGCTATCTCAAAATAAATACATATTCTCAATAAATGGTAGTTAGCTACTGCTACATGTCTCGTGCAGAGTAAATATTTCATAGGCTATGACTCATTTAATTACTATTAAAACTTTATGGAGCAGGTATTGTTCTTCTTCTCATGATAAAGATGAGTGAACAGGTTCAGAGAGGTTGAGGAACTTGTCTAAGAACAGACAGCTGGGAAGTAGCAGAGACAGTGCTGGAATTCAAGTTGTCAGGCTCCAGAGCCTTTTAACCGTTCTCCTGCATTTTTACCACGAGTGTGTCTGTAAGGTCTGGAACACCACCATAGTTTCACAACCAATTAAAATTCTCTAGCTATCAATATTCTGAGTTAAAAGAACTGCAAGCCTAATCCTACCACGCAGAACTAATGTTCTACAGTATGACAAAGCAGTTAAGCATGGACAAAGAGAGCAAAGATCAAATTAGGTGGGGCCCCTTGCCCAGGGTGACATGGTAATAAATGGCACAGACAGGTTCTGAACCCAGGTCAGGCTTAGGACATAAGCTATCTATTGTTCTATAAGAAAAAAACGAATGACACGCAAAGTATGGTGACAGCGCACAGGAAAGGAAGTAGACAGAGCAGCTTTGGGGATAAGGAGAATTTCAGTAAGTGGAAAAGATGGGAAAAGGGAAGATCGTGGGGAACCGAGCAAAGAAACGGAGGCCTGCAAGCGCACACTATCTGCTTGCTGGTGAGGCGAAGGCACAGAGCACGGCTTCTTCCGGCGAAGGCAAGCCCGCCCTGGAGCGAGCCCTTACACACAATGAGGCTCAATGAGGCTGTCCAGGAAGAGGCCTCAGATCAGCTGGGAGGTCCCACTGGCAGCAGCCGATGGCTGAGCGAGGGAGTAGGTGGCTGTGGCAGGCTAAGCAGGACTGCGGGAGTTACTATGGGGTGGGAAACAACAGTGAGGCCAGAAAGGGTGGGCTGCACACGACCGCATTTGGAGCCTGGGTGGTAATCACCTACCCGATCTCATCCCACTCCTGTACCTCCTGCTTTAGTAACACCCAACTTCGTGTCCTTCCCTGCGAGGCTCTGCTGTTTCTTTCCTCCCTGACTTGAACATGGTGTCCCTTCTGTTCAGAATCTTCTTTCCTGCTTATCTTCCTATGGTTACCTCCTATCTCCCCACCTTTGAAGATCTGCTTAGGTACCACCTCCTCCAGGCAGCACCGCTTGGCATTCATCCTGAAGCTCCACGTCACCAGGCTAGTGTTCTGGTGCATCCTTCCCCTACTGTCGTTAAGTTCTGCATCAAATCTATCGCTCCAATTTTCATGCTTTCATTGCCAAACTCTATGTGTCTACCTTACCCATTACACAGAATCCTGGCAAAAAGGATCGTGTCGTGGGCGCCTGGCTGGCTCAGTTGGTGTGGCATGTGACTCTTGATCTCAGGGTTGTGAGTTCAAGCTCCATGTTGGGTGCAGAGATTACTTAATAATAAAATCTTAAGAAAAAAAAAAAAAGGATTCTGTCTTACTCATCTTTGTCCTGAGTACCCAAGTGCTTGGTACAGGTTTTCTGGCTAAATAAACAAATTTAGATGAGGAAGACACAAAGAAGAAAATGTTAGTAGAAAAAGATGAATCAAGAATAATTATGTACACCAAGTTGTGTACATTAAACATGTACAGCTTTTTACATGTTAATCATACCTCAATAAGGTGGTTTAAAAAATCATCTCACACAGTTTTCAGTAAATAACTGATGGAGGAGGAGGAGAGGGAAGAGAAGCAGCAGGAAGAGGAGGAAGAAGAGGAAGAAGATCTGTGGTGACCACAAGCAAGCCACAGATTTTCTCGAGCTCAGGAGCACACGGAGCACCAGAGATGCAAATCTGGGATCATCTAGGGGGTGGTAAGTACAGATCAAGAAGAAACCAGGGGACTGAAATGAAAGTTGAAATGCTAAATGTCTTCTTTCCTGGGTTCCAAACCCCGGAACATACTCTGGATTTAATACACCCTCTCCCCTAGAAGCCTCCACATAAATAAAATGATTAACGTACCACATGTGGATATACAATGTGCTAAGCCAAATTTTCTACCACTCTCTGCTAATCCGCTTCCCAAATGCCCTGCGTTAGCCTGCTTCTATAAATCTGCCACTGCAGCCAAAGACACCATCATCCTTTCTGTCTTCCCTAAAGCGTTCATTTGGTACCTCCATTTACTGCCTTCCTCTGGAAGTCCAAGACTTGCCTCCTTAAATAGACTGGAAGAACAGGGAACACGATGTAACAGTGTGGACCAAGTTGTCTCTTGGGATGCCCACAATGAGCTGAAAAACTCCCTAACCACCCAGTGTTTGTTCTCCTAATACCATGGAATCCGTGCGGCTGTTTCTGGAGTTTCAATTACCACTCAGCTTGACAGTGTTTGTCAAGAAAGTGCTGGAGGTACATGGGAGACAGCCTCAGAAGAAAACCAATCCAGGGGAGCAGAGGAAGATGGAATTTGGGGGATACTTGTACACCTTCATTAGATGCCTATTCTGTGCCAGGTCTTGTGCTAAGTTCAGAATAACAAGAAGCTGGGTCTGACTCTGGAGAGCTTTCCAACTGAGAAGCAGACACAGGCTTACGGACATATAATTATAGCTCTGTGTCAATCTCTCGACCAGAGACTCATAGAAGATGTGACAAGCACTGGGGCTCTGACGGCAAGCTGGGGAGGCACAGGAAACGCAGCACGAATAGTTTTTCAGTACAGCGGAGGCTACGACGGGCAGCTGCTGTTCAGCGGACCCAGCACCACTTCTTGGGTTACGTGCTCCAAAGGGAGGGCGTGTGACCCAAACTCAATCGGATCTCCTCTTTTGGAAATCTGAATCCTGAGGGAAACCACAAGGACAGAAAGCAGCTGAAGTCAAGTCACTCACCTGATAGCAAAGAGATGGTCTGTGACTCTTGCCACTGAGACCCTCAGAACTGGCCTAGTTTGTTCCTGCCACCCTGTGACTACACTGTAATTCTTTTACACAGCTTAACCCATTTAATCCCTGAAAGACTCAATGTGATTAGGAATAACTCTTATTTCTTCTTCTCGTTTTAACAGATGAAGAAACTGAAGCACAGATTAGCAACTTGCCAAAAGTTAAGTAGCTGATGAATGGCAGGGCTGGGATTCAAACCTAAGCAATACGTCTCCAGAGTCTGTGCTTCTAAAAAAATGACATTTTATATACATTTTTGTTTTTAGTGAACTCAAACTGATCTAGAGAGAAAAGATGTTCTGGGTGGAAAGCAGAGGTATGAAAGGGCCCAGAATGTCTGAGGAACTGCTGTATTTAATAGTAGAAATGCATGGTTGTGGTTAAAAATGACAATTATAGAAAGCAGTAATTTGGGACCAAATGAATAGGCAGGGTCAAAACTGAACTATGAACTCAGGAGCTAAGGGAATAAGCTAGGGGAGTTTGAAATGAAGACTCCTATGCTGAATTAACAAATAACATCATAAAGAACAAAGAAACAAGCAAGACAAAAAACGCCAACAAAAATAACTTCACAAATAAAGAATACTACACCTTATTTCTTGATATAGATGACGCCCATGGATGTGTTCACTTGTAATAATGCATTAAGCTTATGATAATACGTAACCTTTTTTCTTGAAGTATGTTATGTGGCAATAAAAAAAAAAAAGTACATACTCTGAGGTTTGGCATTTGTAGAAGTGATTGAGAGAAGAATACACATGAAGAATACGGATAATGCTTTTCATGTTTAGAGAAGCAGGATCAGCTATCACTTTCTTCATGAACAAGTCCATCAAATCAGTATGTCGAAAGCCAAGGTTTTCAAATAAAATGAGGAGAAAGAGAACCTTTAAAAAAAGAATGAATTGAGGGAAAACTTTTTAATTATAGAATGCTACCAGTAATTTTTGAGATCTCAAAAAATTAAAACAGCAACAGAACTGTTCAGATGAAGAGAATATTCCCTAAAAAAGAAACAATTCTCTTTTCCTCACAAAATCTGTTCCAGCAATTCCTGAATCAGATGTTAATAAACAACCTCTTTTTTAAACTGAGAACCAGAGCATACAATGGTTTCCATACTTCCATTTCATTTAAAAATAAATCCTTTCTTACATGCTTTTCATACATCAGACCTAAAAACTACCTTAAATATACCTTTTCTGAGGTTTTTCAAAATGACCAACTCAATTTTGAACTATTCCCTCTTCCAAACCTAGACACTTTCTCCATTCAAAACACCTACGAGGTAACTCAAAAATTTCTATATTCAATATTGAGTTGTACAAATGAGAAGAGAGATGAAATATACTGTGATTAAATTAAAATTTCCAGTTCACTTCTCATTTCCCTCTTGGAACTTCTCACTATTAGTATTTCTCTTTCCAAAACCAATTTTCATGGCAAACTCAATATGCACCTTACTCTCCAAAGTAAAGTGAACCTAGTGACTGAACACAATTACCGCTGCTTCATTACAAAAAGAAGTTTTTACCAGCTGCTTCATTAGATGTTTCTATTACTAATACAGCCCCCAAATTTAAAGGTTCTTATTCTGGAAGAAATAAAACAACCTTCCATAAACAGAAGATAGACATGATCATTAAGTAATGACATTTTATTCTTCAAAACGCGTAAGCCTGTCACATCACCTGTTTTTACTATTCTAAGTCTAAAAAAGAAAAACAGAAAGACAGAAATAATCCTAATTATCCAAAGTACCACACTATCTTTTAAAAAACAAATAGAAGAACAAACTTCGGACAACATAATTTTTCTTTGAGAAAGATGGTCAAAAGATTAAATAGTATATTAACAGGTAACTCCTAGACAGAAATGATAAAGAGCTATTTTTTCAAAAGTCATTTAACATTGGAATATTTTAGTCTCTTAACTACTATAAAGCTGACAGAGAAATACCCAGAATGTTAAATGAATTGAAAATTTCTGAGGCTTATTCCAAACTGTTAACAAACTTACTTGCTTTAACTTCCAGATGTCAATAGTTGTAGCCACATAATCTGCTATTCCCTTAAAAAGATCTAAATTATGGTACCGGAGGTCTCTGCAAGACTGCAATATGTTGATCAGTACTTTAAAAGGACACCCATGGATATTACCTTTAAGAATGAGTTAAATAAACAAACAAAAATTACCAGATGGCTTTGAATTGAAAATCCAAGATACTCTACACTCAATATGTTTGTTTCTTTAGAAAAATACAGCACTGTATTTTGTAAAAGACAAAAACAAAAAAACTATAGGCAAAAGTAAAACTCAGGTCTAATCATATCATCAGTTATTATTTGTATAACAGTAAAGTTTTTAAAACTAACAACTATAGTCCAGAACAGTAGGTCAGATGCTAAAAATCATGAAAGAAAAATTCCCCTTACCTATGACCATCTTACTGCATTCATCCAGAAGTATAATAGAGCGGTGATTCATGGCAGCTAATGCCTCAAACATGTGCTGGCTATTCAAATCAGAAAATCTGTCTAATTCTCTCAAGGCTTTCATCTAAAGAAAAACAAACTTTAATTTATAATTTGTGGCAAAGTAAATTAAACTTTTATTTTTAAGTAAAAAGGATAAAGTTTCAGCAAAATGACTCAAACAGATATACAGGTCAAATATACAGATTTGTATGTACAGGGGCGCCTGGCTAGCTCAGTGGGTTAAGCATCCGATCTTGGTTTCAGCTCAGGTCATGATTTCATGGGTCGTGAGACTGAGCCTGGTGTCGGGGCCCCGCACTCAGCGGGAAGTCTGCTTGAAGATTCTCTCCTCTGCCCCACCTCTCACTTGCATGTGCATGTTCTCTCTCTCCCTCTCTCAAATAAATAAATCTTTAAAAATATATATATTTATATACACAAATAAATATAAATCAACTTCTATTACTTCACTTTAGCAAAACTGAACCTAAAAGCACAACGATGTCCTCCTAAAAAACTGACTTTAGGTACCAATAGCAGGTCATAAGAAATTTTTTTTTCAGGGCGCCTGGGTGGCTCAGTCGGTTAAGCGACTGCCTTCGGCTCAGGTCATGATCCTGGAGTCCCGGGATTGAGTCCCGCATCGGGCTCCCTGCTCAGCGAGGAGCCTGCTTCTCCTTCTAACCCTCCCCCCTCTCATGTACTCTCTCTCTCTCTCTCTCATTCTCACTCTCTCAAAATAAATAAATAAATTTAAAAAAAAAATTTTTTTTTTTCAAATCTTACCCACTAGAGAAAATTCAAAATGTGTTTACCTCCAGTTTCCTTTTAAGAGCAATCGGTGCATCTTTTCCAACACATCTTATCACAGCTTGTAATGTAAAGACATGCTCTATTTTCCAGACTTGCTGATCAACTAGTATCCTGTAATTAGACACAATCAGTACCACATTCCTAGAATCTAAAAACCAGAAGAATTATTTTAAAAGTCACTTGGTCCAGCTCCTACTTCTAGGCAAGGAAGATGAAGCCTACAGAAACAATCTATCTGCCCAAGGGAGTATAAGTAGTTAAAGATCAAGGACCAATCTAGCACTATTTCCTCTCACATTATTCTGTTACCATGAACAAACAAATCACCTCAGGAGATTATAGTAAGATATCCCAATGCATAGTCAATGAAAAAGGAAATTAAGTATTATTCTCACTGACCTATGACATTAGATCAGTTGCATCAATTTTATAAATTATAAAACTCAAGCTCTTTTTTGGGCCAGGTCAGCATCATGTGAACCTCCACACAGTGCCCAAATAACCATTATGAGCTGAGTATATGTCAGTTCACTCCCAGCCCACATCAGTACTAGGGTTTATGAGATCAATTTAGAATTCAATGTTACCCACACAGTTTTTATAATGGACCCTAAGAGAAGCATTATTTCTAGCTTTAGTTGATCCAGAATCAGGATTTTAAGTTTAATAAGGTACTAAAGACTGTAACTACCAACAAAGTCTCTCCCCACCCAAATAAGGCAAGTCAGTTTTCATTTTGGTTTTTGATTCGAGATATAAACAGAATAGAGAATGCCACATGAAGAGAGTACTTGCCGTAACCCTGCTCGAAGAACGTCCACATTCTTGCATGGCTCCATTGCCTCTAAAACAGTTGACAAAACTGAAAGACATTTCTCATCACACTCATTGATACGTTCCTATTGAAATAATTACAAAAACACTGCAGATGATAAGCCCATAGTAGACTACCTCACCTAAGCAAAAGCACTGAAGCTTTCAATTAAATGATTAAGCATCAAACCAATAATTCATAACCCACAATAAACATCTTTGAGAAATAAAATGTCACATGTAATGAATTTTCCAAATAACCAATACACACCTTTATATATCAACACTTTTTTTACATTTACCATTACCATTGAAAACCCATTTGGTATTGATTGTATTCCTCTGCTTCTGAAATAACTTTTATCAAACATTATTTTTACTTCTTCTTAGGACTCAAGTTCAGCATGAAGACAAATGTAGTACAATAAGAGCTACAGAGGTAGAGGTACATGGGGCAGTTTGTCCATCCCTAAGGAACCTTAGACAGCTGTCCTCTTATAATTTCTCTATATCCTTTCCTGGTATCAAACTATAACTTCAGTTGTGAGTTTTCTGATCCATACCTGCTATCCCATCTTACCACCACTATCTGGGTCTCAAGGGGAGCCACAGGCCTCAGATCCTTCTTTCAGATCTCCCGGGTTAAGGCACTAATCTAGATTCTAGAAATGGCAGTCGGCATAATTCAGAAAGTTAAGAGAAACAACACAGCTTACTTAGGGCTCTACAGTTTAATCACAACCAATTCATACACCTCACAAGAGTAGTTGTCATCACAGGTGGAAAAACTTAGGCTGAAAGAGGTATGCTTTTCTGCTAAAATGGCATGACAAACAAAGCATGAAGTCTCAGGTCAGAACACCAGGTACTAAGAAGAAATGGATAAGGCTGAAAGAAAAAGAAAGGTCTCATTCCCATGGGAGGGTTTCCATAGCGATTTACACCATTCCATCAATATCTGCTGTGAAAGACCATTTGGCTGAAGGGCAAATTCACTAATGACATAGTGACCTTTCATGTCTAGCTAAAATGTCTTTACAATTTTCCAACAGGTCAGGGAGACACAATCATACATACATATTTTCTGATTCCAAATATCCACTGCTCATACTTCACCAACGCAGATGCCATACTGATGTGGATACCTGTCCAAAATCTAGTAAAAGCATTACTAACCAGGTAGTGACTTATCATAATCACTTTTAAATAACTATATAGGGAATACAGTCTACCAAATAAACATGGATATATTGTGTGGCTTAAACACACATACACACAAGTAAAAATTCATTCTTAATGAAGGACATATGGAAATCACAGTAACATAAAAAGTTAAAAACTCATATGCTTAGTAAGTTAATTCTATAATAGGATTATATGTGAGATCATCCTCGAAATTTAAAAATTATTTAATTCTGATCACTGAGTTTATAAGTCTGAGATGTCCACCCTTAAAAGGTAAATAATTACGTCAATGGGCTATCATTTCATCATATCGGGTGCTTCAGTGAGATAAAACAGGACACTGACTCCCTTGTCTTGAAACTAAAAGTGGCTCTTCTACCCAATTTCACTCTTCCTCCAGTCCATTTTCCACTCATACAGTGATCTAAAATATAAAGTTGAACATGTCGACACTTTGCTTAAACTACTTCAATGGATCCCCAATGCCTATACGATAACTCCAAAATCCTTACAGAGGCATAAAAGGCTCTTTATAATTTAATACCCACCCTCCCACTTCCAGACTCAGATCTCGCCCCTACACCCATAACCCCTCCTCCCCGGCCACAATTACATAATTTCCTCCCTACTCCCTCAAACACACAACCCCAGCACTCTATACTTCAGCACCACTGAACTACTTTAGCTCCCCAAACTTGCTAAACTTCTCTTCTGGATGAACAGGCAATCCTCCTCTTCAAATACTATCCCCTTCACTATCGATCTCTCACTCACAAACTACTGCTCATTCCTTGGATTCAACTTAGATATCATCTCCTACTGAGCTTGAATCCTTGTTCTACCATGAACTAGGTGTTTGTTAATTCACCCAGCAAATCAAGACCTATAGTGATGTTAACAGAAAGGTAATCTTGGGCAGGTTATTTAACCTAAGCCTGAATTTCCTAATCATTAGTAAGATGAAAGGAGTATCTGTTTTAAAAGGCTACACTGACAATTACGTGAGGCAATTCGATTTTCAAACTACATATATGTATCTCCACCTCAAACACCAACCCTGTACCCTCCTCCCCTGTCTCCTCTTCCCATGATGAAGGCCTTCTCCTAAGTTGGAAGTCTGTTATACACTCTGACAAGACCAAATTTTTCTTTCACTGCACTGACAGCTCTCTGGGGCCATTATTTTGTTCATAATTATATTCCCTTGGGCTCAGCTCAGTGCCTATAATGTAGTAAATGTATGATTTATTAAATGAATGTTGGTTACTTTTGCAATTGCCTACAAATATCTGTCTTCCCCTTTACATCATAAAGACAAGAATCACATCTCCTAAATCTCTCTAGTGACAAGTGTAGTAACTGATACATAACTGACACTAAATAAATGTTTACAGTATGAATAAATGAACCCACTAGCTGTTTGACTTTAGCCAAGTTGTTTAACATCACTAAATCTGTTTCCTCATCTTGCAGGGCTAATGAGAGGATTAAATGAGTAAAAAGTGTAGGTACTCAATAAATACTAGTTCTCCCCTCTTCCCATCTCTTACCTTCAACTAACCAACCTTTCCTTGTATATTTTATCTCTCTCCTCATTTTAGTTTATTACTCACTATTAGTCATCTCTGGCAAGGAAAAATGGTGCAAGCTTTCATAAATTCCCACAGCAAAAGGAAGGAAAGTCCTGGTTAGCTTAAGGTCTCTAAATCATGTATATGCAGAAATGAATATAAACTACCTATTCCACTGATAATCTCTTCCAAGGAGGATACATCTCTATTTCCCCTCATTCTTTCAAGATGTGCCAAACTGTGTAAAATGATATTTAAGTCTCCTTTTGATTTTACCTGGACCACCCTCAGCAAAGTGTACCAGCAGAGTGTTCTGAGGAATTCCAAGCTTCACCATAGCATGAAGACTGAACAGCAGGTGGTCACAGTGCATGATCTTGGATTCTCTCATCACTTGTTCACACAGCTGGTTAAATGCAGGGTGGTTAAACATCAGCTGTTTTTCAACACACTTCTGGTCATCAGACATCCTTTTGGCAATTATCCACATTGCTGAAAAATAGTTACTACTGGGAAATACAGGTCCTTCTGAAAATGTATCTAACACATCACTCAGAGAACTACACTCCTGAGATAGTTTTTTATAGTTGACAGGGGTTGGTTTTGTTTCCTTGGTGAGCACATCTTCATTGGAGGCCTTCTGATGAAATGTTATCTTCTTCAATCCATCATCAGGGTCAAGAGAGTGTTTTGAATCAAAGGACAGTCTTCTAGGACAAAGCAGTCTGTCGACTGTAAGGACTGTTTCAGTGCCTATGCCCTTTGTTTGAAAATTATCTCCTGATTTAAAAATTAAGACATCCGGAAATAGATATCTAATAGATGACTGCACTCCATTACCAAAGTCACTTAAGAGAAGGTTTCTTGGGTTCCAGTTTGAATAAACAATTTTCAGTCTGGAAAATCCCAAAGGATACAGCCTCATAGTTCTGCTTGTTGGAACTAAAGTACTGAATTGTCTGAAGTTCCATAAAAAGGAACCTGCTCTGCTATTCATTGTGCTATCCACTCAAACGCTTTCAAATCGCTTTAAAGTAGTCTATATAATACAATGCCACTTCAGGGAGTGAAAGAGAAGACAAGCCGTTGTTTAAAGAGAAGACATGCCGTTGGTTTCCTGCAGGGGAAGGAATTATAAAAGGAATAAAAATTAAAGCAAAACTTTTATTTAAATAAAGGAAATGAATTTAATAGACACCAAAGTGGGAACCTATGGAGACATTAAAGATGAAAACGGTAAAACTACTTTACCAATATGGGCTTCCTCCATTTCTTCCACAATGTGTAAACTGTCTTACAGAAGCCAGGTTACTTTGGAAGTAGTCGTTGTATAAATGAGTTTAAAAAATAAATAAATAAAGTGAAATTTCAGGTGAAAAGTGTTCCCACAAAGTTTCCTCTTAAGAAAGGGATTTTATGTTACCATTGCTTTGGAGAGGTCTTCAATGAAAAAACTTAACGTTGACGGATACTTTTTCAACATGAAGATTTAGCAACGGCCGAACCCGGACTTTAAGCATAGGGGCTGGGACAAGTAGAACCGCTGAGGAGAGGAAGCAACAAACCAAAGTGACGCTTGCATACGGCCTGAGCTTGGGAGGGTGATAAATCAGCCAGTATCACCAGATCTCATAGTGTTATGAGCTCATCTTTCCCAAGCTGGGCCACCCAGTATTAACCCACCTCCCTAAAGGTAAGACCCAAGCAACTCCTAAGACCTTCCTCCAAAAGACAAGAAGTCTACGGTGTAGCACTGCCAAACGCTCCGCCTATATTCGTTGTCCACTCACCTGAGGTCAGAACCCCGTGGTTCTACACAGGCGCAGCCATGACAGCTTTCCCGCGAGCTGGGAGTATCGCGAGATTTTACGGATCCTTCATAGGTCAAAAAGCTTACGTTCGCGGTAGTCGGAGAAGTTTGCTTAGTAAAAAGACAGCTTACCGAAGAGAACGACTAGTTTCCTTAGGTTCAGGAATAGGGACAGAGGAAAGCACAAAGCTTTTAAAGACAGTGTATGATCGTCTGCCCCAACACCTAACCCCTCTGGCAGGGCCCCAGACCCCGCGCTCAACTTCAGAGTGCGCCTGCGCCAAGCCTTGGTTGCCAGGAAACCGCCGAGCCGCGGTTCCGGGCCCTGGGTCGCGGCATTTAACATGGCCAAATTCGTGCTTGCGGGTGAGTGATCCCCACGTCCGCCCGTAGGTCGCTCAAAACACCGACAACTACTCACCCCCTCTGGTCGCTGAGCAGTGATTTTCTTAACTGCCTTTTGTTCTAGCAATTCCGACCTCTATATGGACCACCCCAGGCTTCTTACGCATTCATTCAAAGATGTTTATTGGGCAGGGTCCTCTGCAAAGCACTCCCGGACACTGGGGACACAGTGGGGGAAAAGATATCCCTGGGCCTTCGAGGAACTTTCAGTCTCACGGAGTACAGAAGCATGTAAACAAGTAATTTTGATCCACTGTAATTAATGAAATGAGGGAAACGTGCACAGGGCTCTGGGAGGTGTTGCAGCAGCTGATTTTGTGAAGGTTTGGAATAGGGAGGCCATTCCCGATAAAGGCACACAGCTAGAAGTCTCATGGCCTAATGGAGAAACTAGATATGGAGGAAGTGACTGGACCTGGGGCTAGAATGGAAGCCGCAGCCGGATCCTGGCACCTAAAGTGCCCCAAACAAAGGTGTTTGAACTGTATCTTGAAAGCAATGAGTCTTAAAAATTTTTTAAGCAGGAGAGTATCCTCAATGGGTTTGCATTTTAGGGAGCCCACCTTTGTCAGCAAATGGAGGAAAAGGATGGAAAATGTCACTGGCATCCAGAAAACCACTAAAGGGTCTTAGTAAAAACAACAGGCTATTATACCTCCCTCCCTCCCTTCTCAGCAAGTTTCCTGAAAGAGTAGACTGCTTTTGTATCTTCAGCTACTTCTTCCATTCAGTCTGGCTTCTACTTCTGCCTCCTTTCAGAAATGGCCTTCATCAGTCACCAGTGACTTTTACAGAAGCTGTCCAGTCTTTATTGGAACTTTCTGATGCATTAACACAATTGACATCTCCCATCTGCCTGGAAATCTATTTCCTTTGCTTCTTTATTCATTCAGAAGAACATTTTTGAGCACTGACTGACTATATGCTGGGAAGGCAGTGATACAGACACTTACAAAGAATGTTACATGTGGGCTAGTGACAGGGCCAGTTCTATAGGAGCAGTGGCAGGAGCCTTTAGTCAGGCAAAGCCTTCCCAGAGGGAGTGGTTTTTCAAGCAGAGATCCTTAAGCAGAGTTACCTAGCAGAAGGAGGTAGGGAAGAAGAGAGTGATTAACGCATCCGTGGCAGGGGCTGGGGTTGGAATAAGGAAAGCTAGAAAATGGAAATAGATTTAGTAGGATTGTAGCAAAGGGTACAGGAAAGAGAGTGTCGGAGGCTGAGGCCAGAATTAGATATAGATTCTTGCGAGCCATGTTCAGTATTTCAAACATTATCTAAAGTATATAGAAGGTTTTTGGAAGGAGAGGACATAATCAAATTTGCATTTTATTTGAATGGTATTCTCTATGGTAAGAGAAAGATTAGATGCCAAGACCCCAGTTAGTTGCAATAGTCCAGGAAGAAGATAGTGGTGGCCTGGCCTAGTATGGTGGGCAGTGGAAATGGAAGGAATTGAGTGGACTAGAGAGATATTAGGGAGGCAGAATTCAAAGAACTAAATGTCTCATTGGGTGGAGGAAGGCAAGGGAGAAGAAAGAGTTAAAATTATTTCCAACCAGTGGTTTGGAAAAATGGGTAGATGAGTCACGGGAAAAAAAAGTGGAAAAGTAGGCTTAATACTCTGGATACTCTTAATTCTCTTAAATAACTGAACATAAGAGAAGAGCAAATTCGGTGGGGAAGTTTTGGCAAAATCTGTACTAGACATGCTGAGGGCCTATGAGACATTCAGAGGGAAATGGAAAAATACAGGAAAGTATAAACATCTAGATAAGGTGATAGTTCTGAACTGGATGTGCAGATTGCTTTTTGAAGCCAGGGAGTGGAGGAGATCCACCAGAAAGAATGCATAGAGTATGAAGATGCCTTGAAGAATGCTAACCTTTTAATGGATCAATAAAGGAATAAGAACCCACAACGTATAGTGAGAATGACCAGAGAAGTAGGATGAAAACCTGAAGAATGACCGCCACCATAGTGGGTGTTTCAGAAGGATAGAAGAAGGCAAATGCCAACAAGAAAATGATCAGAATGTATCCATTGGATGTAGTGACATGGAGGTCCTTGACACCCCTCTCGAGAACTGTGGTTAAAGCCAGATTGCAGGGGGATGGGAAGCAAATGGAAGTGAAGAACTGGGGATGGTTAAGTGTAGAGAACTCTCTCAAGAAGTTTTAATAGAAGAAGACAGGTAGAACACAATAGCTAGAGTGGGACATAGGCTTTTTGTTTCTTAAGACAGGAGAAACTTAAATGTAACCTGACTGTATTTAAATAGGATGGAAAAGGACCATTAAGAATAGGGATAAGATGCTAAAAGAGAGGTTAACCAATTAAGCAGAGTTGGTGGCAGTTCTGAAGGAGGAAGAGGGTGGTGTTCAGAGCCTAAGTAGTGAGGTTAGAGCTGAACAGGAGGTAGGAGCCATCTTCCATGAATAGGAGAAAGAAGGAAAGAACGAATCCAGATGCAGACAGGCTTGTAGGTATGATGGCAGGAGGCTAGGGGATTTCCCAAATGACAACATTTTTGTATGATTTGGTTTTGTTTTTAGATCACTCTTTTTTTTTTTTTAAGATTTTTATTTATTTATTATGTCAGAGGGAGAGGGAGGGAGAGAGCACAATCAGGGAGAGTGTCAGGCAGAGGGAGAAGCAGGCTCCCCACTGAGCAAGGAGCCCAACGCAGGGCTCGATCCCAGGCCCCTGGGATCAAGACCTGAGCGGAAGGCAGACGCTTAATCAACTGAGGCACCCAGGCGCCCTTGATTTGGTTTTGGTTTTGTAAAGTAGAAAGGCAAGGTTATCTCTTCTGACAGTGTGGGAAAATGGAGAGAAGGAAGTTTGCAAGAAGTGGGCTGCGTTTGGAAGGGAAATTGTGAAGAACAGAAGAGAGGGCTGATAAGGAAAATAGAAGAATCTCCAGGCAGAGTTGAAGGCCAGCTGAGGCCAGCGACCATGAATTTATTATGGCGCCTCTCTGCTTGCTTCTCCCATGTTTCTCCAGGGGTGCCTAGCAGCAGATGGAACCCAGAAACAGAAAAGGCAGGTAACTGCGTTCATCCAGGGTGAAAGGCTTTTACCAGGCTGATTTGCCAGAAACATAGTGGGGCAAGATAATTTAAAACATGAGCTAGAGTGTGGTTTGAATTCATGAACCATGGTTTTGAACTAAACAGGGAGGCTAACAGACAGGGAGTGGTTGAGAGGGTTGATGATTTAGAAGTCACCATGAAGTGGAGGAAGTCATGATTGGGAGTAACTGGGGAAGATTGTTGCAGAGGGGGTTCTGCACTGGGCCCCTGCCCCTGCAACTCCCATCAGACACCCACCCAATCCATCTACTCTGGTGGCTCTAACTTCCTGTGTGTGGATGGCTGCAAAATCTTGTCTCTTAAGCCCTTACATGGGGCCTGCACTTCAGACTTACAGGTACAGCTACCTGCTGGGCTTATCCACTTAGATAAACTGCACATACCTCCAGCTGCATTTGTCTACAATTAAACGTCTTACCTGTGGTTTCTGTTCAGTAAGTACAGGATCATCTGCCCAAGCCAGAAACTAGGAGTTATCCCAGACTTTTCTCTGCTTCTCCTCCCCGCCTAGTACCACTCCCAGCAACACATATTAAATCTACCTGTGATTTTACCACCACTCCTCACTTTACACTTTGCCTTTTAGTGGCTTCTAATGACTAGCTCATTATTGATAGTTCATGCTTAGTAGCATGGCAACCCCTTAGAGAATGTGAAGTCTAGCACACTCCTGGAGAAGAGTAAATATCCAATCGCCTTTTCTTCTTTCCACGTTTTATTACTTAAGATTCTGACCTCCTGTGAGATAATTTTATTTTTACGACTGTTATAAAAATCAGAGTTTATATGGTGGCAGTTTAATACTATAATTCTATGTTATAAAATATATCATAACTATATGATTAATTCTGTAATTACATGCCAAATACAACTACATGATAGTTTCTGTGTGATATAAGAAAATGTGAACTCTTTTAGGTAGAGCAGATTGCCCATATTATGCTAAAGCAGAACTCCTAGCAGACTACTTACAAAAGAATCTTCCTGATTTTCGGGTACATAAAATTACACAACATCCTCATGTTTGGGAGGTAAGAAACCTTTATTGTTTGTTAAACTCACACACTCACAAAAATGTGTTCTGATTTAATGAAATATTAGCCAGTGTTATCAGATGGGCTTCCAATAATGAATGTTCATGTACTACTGATATTTTAACACCAATAAAATTAATTCCTACTTAGCAGTCTCAGAACATTATATGCTTTTTCCTTTGTACCTAGTAAAACAAATGAGGCCCTAACCAATCAGTAGAATAAATTTAGCTGTTTTTTTCTCCCAAGAATCCAGGTAACCTGTATTAACCTTTTTAACTTTTCATTCTCCTTCATTTGATTTCTAACGACATGAGGCACTTGCTTATTTGAGATACCCTTCTTTGGGACTGTGTTTCCCCACAAACAGAGATTTGGGGGAAGGAGTTTCCTTTACTGGGGGCTGCTCTTGGGAATAATGCTCTGGGAAGGAATGAGGACAGCAGTGTTGTGCAACAGGAGAGGTTGAACCACCGTGCCGCTGCAGCAGAGGGCTCAGCCAGCCCTGACCTCTGAAGCTGGGCTGGCCCTTCAGAGATACCCCAAATACAGGTAAGGGGGCTGGGCTTTTGTACTGACACAACTAACAGTCCTTGGATGCAGGCTGCTCTTGGGCAGGGACTTAACTCTAGGCAAGGGAACCTCTCTGAGGTCAGTTCCTAGAGAGAGACTCAGCACTGAGCCATCAGCAGTAAGTACACCCGGTGACCCAGGGAATGAGTGTCTTGGTCATGAAGGGGGAATCTGAATGACATAGGACAGGATCTGCTACAGCTCACCAGTTGTTGTGCCTTTTGGGTCTACATGCTCCATATAATAAATTCATACCATCTGCGAGCAGCTCTTCTGAGGTTCTGGTTGGCATCTTTCCCTGGGGAAACTTGACAAGAGGGTGGTCAGTGAAAGGAACCACGGTCTCCACTGCATATCATTTTAGGGCTGTAACTGACACTCATCACCGTTCTTGTCTATGATCCAATGTCAATCCCCCTCACCCTCTGCTGGTCTAGTTGACTTCTGAGGTGTGATGACCTAGACCTGTATTCTCGGAGGTCTGAGTCCTAGTCTCCCAGGATGTAACTGGATGTGACTGCAGCACACGTATGCTTGCTGGCAAAATTAAGGAAGGCAGTACCAAGGATGCCCCAGCGGGTCACCTAGATGCCAGATATTCTTTCCTGCCCACATGCCCCTGATCAGCAGGGCCAGGTACTCCTTCCAGGATGGTAACTCCTTTCCTTGACTGCTGTCTCTTGGCACAGGAGCTCAAAGTGACCAAGCAGCAACCATAGCTTAACGTTTAATGGAACTCTTCCTGATAGAAACACCCTGGCACCTCTGGAATTTAGAACCTCCAGACCCATAGAATCTAGAGTTAAGTGGGCTTGGGGAAGCACAAATTCTCCAAGTGGGTCACTGGGTCACTCTTAATTCCATCCCTCGGTTCCTGGATTCATGTATTTCACCTAATGGGGAAAGCACTATATTGATTCATGGTGTATATTGCATCCTGAAAGACAGTGCTTTATCCTTACAAGGTAGCAACCTCTAAGCACCTTCAGTGAACTGTTCTATCCCTCTATCAGGTGATGTGATACATAATAGGGCCAGTGCATCCCATGGTTACGTGCCCAATCCCACCAAAGTGGTTCAAAGTGATATGATGCATAATCCCATGTTGCTAGGTTGAACATTTTCTAAGCTCTTGGGCAGGGTGCTGGCCAAAGCCCTATAAGCAGAAAAAGCAGTTCTTTGCCCAGAATATATGTTGATTCCAGTCAAGATGAATCACTGCCCTTTCTAGGGTAGAAGGGGTAAAATGTAATCAACTTGCCACCGAGAGGCTGGTTAGGGTCTTTGAGGGATAATGCCATTATCAGGGGGTCAGTGTTGGTCTCTGTTGCCAGCACATTGGACATTTAGCAGCAACAATGGCTCGATCAACTTTGGTGAGTGGTGGCTTGTTCTCTAGGGCTGTAGCGTAACCTCTGTCTCTTTTGTGAGCCCATTGTGCCTTCAGCTAAGTGACCTTATCTGCTGGGCTGTTCTGTGCTTTTATCACAGTCGATGTTCTCTGGTGGGCACTGCCCCTGGCCTCTTTTTATTTCAGGACTCTATCAGGGAGTCCAGCTCTATAACAGCATGCCCTTTGATAGCCCTGGCCTAGGATGGGCAGCCACCCCAGGCTTCTCCATGATGCTGAGAACCTATCACCAGTGCAGTTCTTATCATTTTGATGGATGTAGTGTCCTCCAGGCCCTCCTGGAGAACATAATGGACTAGTAGGTTTCCCGCCTTCCATAGTAGCATATCCACTCCAGCATGCCTGTTTTTCTAAGCTTTTTGATTCCTTCTTCCATTGTCTTCTGTGGATGTTCTGGCATTTCTGTTTCATTTCACGTGAACCATCACTTTCTCCAAGCTTTGGAGAGCCATCCTAGCAATGTGTTGCCACTGTCTTCTGAGGTGCTTGCCAGGATATGTACCCTTGAGTTGCAGAAGAGTGATTTATATTGATAAATTCTCCCTTGTCCAACTTTATATTCCGCTCTTGATTCTGCACCCTCAGGGTCCAGTCCTATACATATTCTCCCAATCCTACCAAGACATCAACATGCCCCACTTAGTGCTGAAGGTCCTTTGGGGCAGAGTCCCTTTCCTCCAGAGGCCCGGCACTTAACTGGCTAGGCTATGCAATGACTAGGGGAACCATGATGGAATCTTCACAGCAGCATTGTTTGCTTTAAGGGAAGATAGAGAGATCTTCAACATTGTCAAGAGAAATTAGTTTCTAAGATTTTATGTGTAAGGTAGCCTCATTACACATGCCTCCAATGGCAAGAATGTTGTCATGTACTTTACTCCCAAGAATGTTGCTCTCTGTCTCTACTCAGCTCTTGTTATTAGAAGGCCTGGTCTACACAAACCAGATAATGATGATTTAAACTTTCTCTAATGATTACTATTAGAAATCCACAGGTAACTTTTAGCTCATTTATTCGGTCTGGATGACAAATTATACCCACATATTTGGACAGCAATATCAAATTTAGGTGGCCCTAAGACTGGAAGTATCTCACATAGAAGAGCAAGGTAAGAACCAGTTGAACTTTTTTGAAATCAGCTAAGTTGGAAGACTTGGCTTCTCTTTTAAGCTAACCACTTGCATTCTCCGTCTCCTCGGCAAAGAGAGCAACTTTTGGTACCTTTATTTGGTCAGCAAATTTGAAGAATAGTCTTTCGTATTTGATTAATTTGTTACTTCACTCACCACTATTTTCTCTATTTACATTTTACAATGTAAAGATATCTAAATTTTATTATGTATACTCAGTGGTAGTAAAAAAAAAAAACAAGCTAGTTCGTGTTTGAATTCTGAAGTATGGAACTGAATTCTGAGACATTCAACGGATGACTTGTCTTGGAATATCATTCAATAGGAGTGGTTAAAAGACCTGTGTGAGAAGAATAAGTGGAGTCACAAAAAGTCCCCCATCATATGGAGAGAGCTGTTGGATCGTGGAGGAGAGGGCTTGCTTTTGGGAGGATATAACGAGTTCCTGGAATACGCCCAGGTATATGGATTAAGTTGGTTTGTCTGCTCAAAACATTGCCATTCTCTCACGTTGTTCTCCAAATGTCTTGCTTTCCAAAGTATTATCTCTGCTCTCTTTATCCTATTCTGGCTTTAAACAAGAACTTTCCATTATAATCATTGTCAGTGTTGACTTTTTCTTCCTAATATTTAGCTTTACTACGGTGTCACCTCTAGCATGACTACTGAGCTGATGAAGATAATTGCTCAAGAGAACCTGGAGACACATATAGAAAAAGAACTGGAGGAAGAAACCAAGAAAGATCTCATCCACCCTTTGCAGGTCTGGATCACCAGGTGGGACAGTCAAACTCCAGGATTCATGAGATTGGGTGTTATATTTAGAAAGGACGATAAGGTGGGATTAAGTCCATGATGGAAGAACCTCTGAATGTCAAGTTTGAGATTCGTATGTATAGATACGTACATGTACAGACATGTGAATATATATATATACATATGTATCCCCCAATATAGCTCCATATTTAAGTTTTAGATTATAGGTGTATGTATGCACACACACATATGAAATCTAAGAGCAAATGTATAGCAAAGATCATTAGTTCGACGACCCTATCTCCAGCTCTTGTCTCCTCACTCTGTGTCTCTCATGCTGCCTGCTGCTTGCCTTCTTGCTCTTTGCCTTGCCACCCTTCCTTCCCATTCCCTTGCTTTCCTTCTCCTCTCCCCACTCCAGTCTCCCTGCCTGCTGCCCTGCCTTTCTTTCCCACTTGCTAGTGCTGACCTCGTGTTGTGTGCCCGCCTCAGTAACCAATATTGTGGCTGGACCAGCCTGTGGTTCTTACTGCGTTGGCAAGACCCCCTCAGCAATAACCATCAGGAAACGTGGGGAGAAGGGGTTTTGTTACTTACACATCCTGGAAATGACATGGCACCCCTGGAGCCACACAGTGAAGTTACCGGTGGGGAGAGAGAGAGAGAGAACGTGTGAGCACACAAGGCCCCGGGGCTCTGCTTTTATTGCGGTTGAGAGTGAGGGACTTAGGTTTTGTGGGCTCACTCTGTACTGCCGAATTTAAAACCTAGGAGTAGAAATTTAAAGCTTGGGAAGAAAAAAAACAAGCGGCCCGGCTGGCCGGTTATTGACATCAGAGATCTCTAAAACAACCGAGCCGCCCCTGGCTCGTTAGCAATGTGGCTGGCAGCGTGTTTGCTGCAGACAGCCGTCTTTAAAGTGGATACCTCCTTGGCAACCAAAACCTATAAAAAGCAGAAAACAAACCTGCCAGGGTTTATACTACACCTGAGTTTTGCTCCTTCTTCCTTTTTTTCCTCTCTTGCTCCTCACCGCGTTTAGTCGTGGGTACAAGCAGTCTTCACTAGCACCTTTTGTCTCTGCACGCCATCTCTCTCTCAGTGTCTCTTGCTGTCCTTGCTCTCTCTCCCTCCCCACCCCCCACTCTGTCTCTCACAGTCCTTCTTTCTTACTACACCTGCATGTATCCTAACAGTCATGTTCCTTTGGAAAATTATTCGCTATGAAATAGTTCAATACAGGAAAGAATTAAGAATGATGTAATAAGCATAAACATGAACCTCACACCCAGATTTAGTAACTACTACAAAGCCTTTAGATATTTTTAAAGGATTAAAATGGTACAGATACTGTTGAGACCTTCACTGAACCCCTCCCTAAACCCATTGTGAAAATCAAAAATGCCCAGGTACATTTCCAAACTCCTGTCAGGGTCATTATACCTGTCGATTGGTAGCCAAGCTCCTGAGTACCCAGATACTTGCCGGATTGTGGGTACAGATACATGATGCCTAGCCTATGCTGATCCTAGGCTTCTTTGCAAGGATTTAGAAAAGATAGTCCTTTCCAAAAAAAAAAAAAAAAAATGTCATTACTTTGTAGACGAGGGTATAAAGTAGAAAAGAGCTATGGTTAAATAAAACTTGTTATTTCTTTTCCTTTTTGAAAGAAAATGTCAACATGTAATTAGAGTACTATGACACCATTCTTTTTAAATTTTGCTCTCTGCATATTCTGTTTTATTTGAAAATCTCTTAAACAGGTACATTTCTCATTTGGGGTTTGTTTTCAGATGGCCAGAGCAAGGGATTAGTGGTAAGAATATTTTTGCTCAACTTTTGCTTCCTCACCTTGAAAAGTCTTATGTGGTTGTGTAGGCCTATTTAAGATATTAAACCACCCTATTAATGCACCTGCAGAAATATCTATTAAGAGTAAAGGCTTAGCAGGAGCAAAAGATTTAACCATTCATAACCCGGCTTTGCATTTTTATTAGCGCATCTGTCCCTGCCTGCTACAACCTAATTCCCATCTTGACAAGTGGCGAAGTGTTTGGAATGCACACGGAAATTAGCCTGAATCTATTTGACAATAAGCAGGCAGAAGAAAATCTCCACGTTATCGTGACCGAAACTCGGGACCTGGTGGCCCCCTTGCTCCGGAGCATCTCCATCTGCACCCGAGTGGAGGACGCCTTCCTCCAGGCCCACGTGATCATCATCCTGGACGAGAACACTGACCAGGAGGTATACACTCTAGAAGACTGCATCCGAAGCAGACTTCCTCTGTGTAGGCTCTATGGATACCTGATCGAGAAAAATGCTCACGATTCTGTCAGAGTTATTGTGGGAGGAAAAACATTTGTGAATCTTAAAACCATTTTGCTTATGAGATACGCCCCAAACGTGGCCCACAACATCATTGCCGTGGCACTGGGCGTGGAAGGCCAAGCTAGAGCTGCGCTGGCCAGAAAACTGAGAACAACCTCCTCATGTGAGTGAGCTTCTGTGTCTGTTTCTGTTTTTCAACAATGTGATTTGAAAGCCACTAGGAAGAACACCGTACCCCTTTAGGATTATTCTGGATGTCTGGAATAGAAAGTAGGAAGCAGATAAAAAGAACTCCTTACTGTGTGATTTGACTACGGTGTGAACATTTTTTTCTTACTATTTTTCATGACAGGCTGACTTTGTCCATCATTTAAAAAGTTAAACCAATGTTTAATATAAGATTTCTGTTTTTCTAGTTATAATTTGAAACCTAAATTTCAATTTTCCATAATAGTCAACCAAGGTAATTAGTGTTTTTTATTTTTTTTAAAGATTTTTATTTATTTATTTGACAGAGAGAGACACAGTGAAAGGGGGAACACAAGCAGGGGGAGTGGGAGAGGGAGAAGCAGGCTTCCCACCGAGCAGGGAGCCCAATGTGGGGCACGATCCCAAGACCCTGAGATCATGACCTGAGCCGAAGGCAGACGCTTAACAACTGAGCCACCCAGGTGCCCCTAATCAGTGTTCTTTAAAAAAAAATCATCAGGGATGTGTGTAAGTGGCTCCACCCCACTTCCCACCAATGTGATGGTAAACATTTGCAAGGGTATTAAACTTGTCCGCAGGATTCTGCTGTCTAATCGGTTTCTGCCCCCAGTTAGTTTTGGAACTGGTAGACATCAGAACCACGAGAGGATGAGACTGGATCAGAAAGTGGATTGTTGTATTTAAAAGGGGAGTGCTGTGTTTGAAAACATTTATCATCTTTAACAAATTTTAGATGTCCGTGCCTTTAGTTGGAGCAGGTGCAACAAAGCCCATGAAAACGCAGGGAGGTGCGAGGCGTTCCCTCAAGACAATAGGGAGACGATGAAATGTGAGCCCCACGTGCTCTAAATCGGGGCCATAAAGGGCTTCAGGAAGCCCCTACATTATAGCAAGAGCTGTATCACCCACTGCTTTACAGGGAGGCCCTAGAACCATCACTTCTGGTATTCTCACACACAGATCTTCAGTGCCTCACCCCCAGGTTCAGTGATTACCTTAGCCAAATTGCTATAAAATTATTCAGTAGGAAAGAAAAACATTTTCTAATCACTTTATCTCTGTACCAACCTTATATACAGATATGTAGACACTGCTTTATCACAAAAGATTTCTTTTTTTTTTTTAAGATTTTATTTATTTGAGAGAGAGAGAATGAGAGAGAGAGAAAGCACATGAGATGGGGGGAGGGTCAGAGGGAGAAGCGGACTCCCTGCCGAGCAGGGAGCCCGATGCGGGACTCGATCCAGGGACTCCAGGATCATGACCTGAGCCGAAGGCAGTCGCTTAACCAACTGAGGCACCCGGGTGCCCTCACGAAAGATTTCTGATAACGCTGATCGAAGTGCTAAAATGAGGCAGTGTTACAAAATTTAAAACAAGGTGGGGGCTTTCAACCAGAAAGCTGCTCTCGTGTGGGTCTGGTGGTGCCATAAATTGTAAGCTCTCCTGGACCCAAAGCCAATAAGCATATGAGAAGCAGAAGAAAGAGAAATGGAGAAACACTGGGTAAAGGAAAGAGAGACTTTGGAGGGACAGAGGTCAATGGGAATGGTCCGCAAAGCAGCAACGAGAGACTCTGCACCAACAAAGCCAGTTTCCTGAAATCAGAAAACCATCAAGGAGAGTCATTCAGTGAAGAGTCCAGATGCCAAGAGGGTGGCAGATCTTTCCAGGATGTCCCTTGAGTTCAGTTCACACATAACTCTGTTTCTCAGACCATGTGCATTGGCTTGGTTGCAACTCTTTCTGCTGCAAGTGACAGCAAGTCCACTCAAAGCGACGGTAGACTGTGGACAGAGAGAGCTTTTTTTCAGGCATAGATGGATGCTGGGGCTCCAACGATGATGTCAGGACTGGCTTGCCACTCTCTTGACCTATCGCTCGGCCCCGCTTTCCTCAGCATTGGTTTGCTTCCCATGCAGGCTCTCTGTACAGAGTGGCGAAGTGACCACTGGTGTCTCCAGGCTCATACATTCATAACTTAGCTCACCCCAGGAGAAGGAGGGCTTGCTCTCTCAAATGTACAGAAGGAGCAGGATAATTTCTCATTTGCCCATCTCCAAATCAATCGTCATGGCCAGGAGTCTGGAATCTGGGACTCCTGCCTATTGATAGACCTGAGGGGTGAGGACAGCCCCACCCAAACCATATGGACTGAAATTGAGAAAAGGTAATTATTTAAAGGAAAACCAGGATGCTGTTAAAGAAAAACAGTAGCAAGAAATGTTAGGAGGAAAAACAGCAGATGTCCGCTATGGTTTTCTCTGGCAGAGTTATAGAGAGCCCTAAGTCTGATGAGAAAAATTCTTCTCCCTACTGCCTGCCTTTGAACACAACCATGTGAAAGTGTGATACTTAAAGCTGCTACAGCTGTTTTAGGACCATGAGAGGCAGGCCAAAAGAATAGCATCTTTGAGCCGCTGAGCAACACCGGTGTTACTGCCTACCTCATCTTGTTATTGCCTGAGAAAAGTGAGCTCCTCCTAGCTAAGCCAAGTCAGAAGGATATTCTGTTACTTGAAACCCACACATCAAACTTAACTCATGCACAACAGTACCGAATTTAATCACCGTAGGAAGTGGTATGACTTTGAAAGATAATTAACTCTTTAAACAAATAAGTAAGTTAATAAATCAATAAAATTACTTATTTTCACTTCAGATACAACATTCCTAGAAGAGCCACAGTTTTAGAATCATATCAAATTTTAATCCCTATTTCTCTCCAACCACTGTCCTCTTATTTTCCTTCACAGGGCGAATCACTTTGTATAGTAGTTGCTTTCTTACCCACTCCCCTCCACCCCAGAATGTTGCAAGGATTTGGGCTGATGTGTTTCCTCCTAAACCTTCCACCTAAAAGTGCCTTACACATAGAAGCTAATTCAATTACTTGTTGATTAGGTTGTTCCTGAGGTCCTCTTATTATAACACCCTCCTTCTGGAGGAAATGAAACCCATCCGGGGGTTAAGTGATTAACCCAAATTTCTATTCCAGTCTAGAATCAAGAACCTTTGTCAGAACCAAAGCAGATAAAAAGTTCTCCTGATGGCAAGCAGAGTGGTTAAGTTAGGACCATACCAGTGGTATAATTTTCAGTAGCAAGGTCTTTCAGGGAGCACTTCAGGATTTCTTGAATTCACTCATACGGCCTATGTATGAACATGATTAGGAATTGCCGAACCCTGATGATTCAGTAAATCATCCATGTCATTTGTACATTTGGGGGGAGCATAAACTTAGATCATTTTATAGCAAAAAGATCAATCCTAAAACAACACACAGACAAAAAATAGACTACAGGCAATTTTTTGTATTAATGCTCATTCTTGTGTTAATTTTAAATTTCTTTCTCTTCACAGGTATCAAAAATGTGATAGTTTGGGGTAATATTAGTGGAAATAACTACATTGATCTGAGAAAAGCCAAGGTTTACAGATATGAGAGTGCTATTTGGGGACCTCCTAACTACTCACGCCCTGTTTTGAGCTTGATTTTTGATAGGTATGGTATATTTTTAAGTGAAGTATACTAGCAATGTTGGATACACGTATAATAGTTGTTATAATCCTTTAAATCATCTTAGAAATCTTTGAACCAAAATGACTTGGCATTGGCATTGTTCACACTTACCTTTCTTTATGCACTCTATTGAAGATACAGAAAATCCCACAGAATCCCAACTGGTCAATCCCCACGCCCAATTTATTTGACTTTGCAATTATGAATTTTTTTTATTTTTTATTGTTATGTTAATCACCATACATTACATCATTCGTTTTTGATGTAGTGTTCCGTGAAGAAGAAGATAGCAGGAGTCGATTGACTTTTTACAGGATTCAAGAAGCTTGAAGAAGGAAGGTACACAGGAAGGCATATTTCTCTTTTATGGAGATGATTTCTTATACTGAGATCCATTGACCCAAAGAACATTCTTTTATTCCCATTCTTCCCTCCATTGTAAAATCGTTTCTTTCTCTCCTTATAGTGACTGGGTAAACAGACAATATGTGGAAACTCTTAAAAAGCTGACGGCCACAGGAAAACAATTTGGAGCCATCTTATCTGCACACAGTATAGCCACTACATTGAAATACTGGTACCATGGCTCACCGCCTGGGGAGATCGTGTCTTTAGGAGTACTAAGTGAAGGTCAATCTGGGGTTTTTTGTTTTTTGTTTTTTTTTTTGTATTACTTTCAAACCTGCCTGTATGCCTCATACCCCTGCTTCTGTGTCCCTGCCTTCTGCCTTACCTGGTCTGTAAGCTGTCTGGACTTCCACAGTTCCATACTCACTTATCATTCATGCACTCACTCAGCCATTCAGAAATTCTGCAATGTTTTGTGTGAATGCGCAGGGAACACACACACAGCTGCTGCCTTCAGACCTAGAGCAGCGGGAAGAAGAGCCAGCTACAAAAACTCCAGAGTTCCACTAAGCTGTTCTCACTGTATCCCAGCTGAGGAAGGGAAAGCAAGGTTGGTTTTAGGCAGATGGTCAGAAGAATCAGGATGGACTTCAATAAGGAGGTGACCCCCCAGGAAGCCTTCAAGTCTGAGTAGTGTTTACCTGGCAGACTAGTGTGGAAAGAACATCCCCCAGGAGCCACGGTGGCGAAGATCCAGGGTCAGGATATGAAGGACACATCAGGATGCTTATCTTAGGGCACCCGTGGGAATGTGGAAAGCTTGCTCTCCCGCTGCAAATACTGTATATGCATTTTTACAACCTTACCGCTTTCATCTGCTAAAAACTACTTCAGAGGACTTCTACATTTTTGAAGAGTAGGAAAGAGAGAAGAGTTGTTCTGTGTTCTGTGGGTTGTATCTAAAGCATCTCTTCCCTTTGTGTTTTACTTTCTCCCTGTGCAAACTCATTCGCTGCTAAAGCTTCCCGCCTCCACCTCTCTGCTGAGCAGTAGCCTATGAAACACTGTCCCCTGGACCATGCTGTCACCTCAGACTGACATACACCAAACTGAACTCATGGTCACCCTCTCCAATTTGATCTACCTCTTGTGTTCCTTATGTTATTAGTGGAACCACCATCCTCCCTGTTATTCCAGTGACCATCGTGCAGCTCAAGGAAATCTCCCAAATCCCCCAAGTCAGAAATCATCTCTCTCTCCTCTGTATGTGAACAGCATTTTGTCCCTCTGTCAGGGAGTGCATTCCAGCCTGTCCTCGTTGGTGGCGTGGTTAATTTCGTTAAGTCCCCTGTGTCCGAGCGCATATACCTGGAGGGCAGGGCTTTGGCTGAGTCTTCCTGCTTCTACTTCAGGGTTAGACACTCAGGGAATCTTGTTTCAATCGCAGTAAGGCGCATGAAGCTCGCTTTTAATGCATACGGTGAATCAAATCAGTATGTTACCTTTTTAGTGTAATAGGCATTTAAAACCTTATCTTTATTTGGTAACAGTTTAATCTCTGTAGGAGTTCACCAATAAACAATGCAATATTGGAGGTGAAGAGCAGGTCATCACTGTCTTCCTGAAACCATGTAGGTAGACTCTTGGATGTTGTCCACCCATCAGGCTGGCTCTTTACAGATTAAAAAAAAAAGAGAGTGAACAGAGAACCTCAGATGCCCTCTAAGGAAAGGCCTTTTAGATTCTGGTTTCTTGACTCTCCTCACATTTTTGTTCTACTGACAGCATTTTTGATGACTAGAGTGGCAGGAATTATTTTCTCATTTGATTGAGGCACAAAAGGCAGGGGGGCAATTCTATCTGAATGTTGCATAGTTAGTAGTAGTAAGTGTTGTCCATCTTTGAATTTGGAACACATCCAAACTGGGCCCTGGGAGCTTCCGGGGAAATCATCAACTTCCCCAGCCCCTCCCTCTCTCACCCCAGGCCTCACACTGCAGCTATGGGACCACCACAGCAGGCTAGAAGAGGGTAGGCCAGGTGAACAAATGTCTTGGGGTCTTGGGCCAGTGAGGGGGCAAGGAAAGGCCACAGGGGGCAGAAAAAAAGGAGTCTAGACAAAATGGAGGAGAAAGACATGAGCCCCCGAGGCACAGGCACGGGGTTTGAACCAAGCCTGAGGGGACAGGAGGGGTAACAGGAGGGAGTAGTGGTTCTTTCAGAGAGAAAGAAGAGAGAGTTGTCAGAACTTGGAGAGATGCTAAGTCAATACTTCTAGAGTAGGTGTTTCAATCCTCCCAGGAGAGGAATTCTCAGAAATTTAGTTCACTGTTACCATTAAAAATCACATACGATCTCTGTCCTTTTCTACAATGCTTTATATGAAGGGTGTATTGTTCTGAGTGCTTTTGTTTTGCTTTGCTTTCTATTTGCTCACTACAGGCCAGTTTGGTATTCCTGAAGGGATCGTCTTTTCTATGCCTGTAAAATTTGAGAATGGAACTTGGGTAGTTCTTACAGATCTCAAAGATATTGAAATCAGTGAACAAATAATGACCAGAATGACAAGTGATCTCATTCAGGTAATGTCTGAATAGATAGAAGAACACTGACTTTGATAATGACTATAAACTGATTCCTCTGGGCCAAGGAACCCACACCGATTTTCTGTGGGTTCAATTTGCATCCTCTTCCTAAAAACAATCAGGAGGCAATAAGACTTTGAAGAAATCAACAGAAGAACACTACTCATTACGTTACATAATATCAGGCATGTTAAAAATATTTTTTGGTAATCAAGACCCAAAGTGTTTTTCTATTGAAGATTGATTGATTAAGCTAGCAATTGTGGTCACTTACTTCTCTGATTATGAAATTTTTCAACAGGAGAAACTTGTTGCACTTGGAGATTTGATCAGTTTTCAGCCCTATCAATCAGGTAATCTTTTCAATGTGATGTTTTATTGAACTGCTACTAAAAGACTATTAAAATATTTGTTGGGGCACCTGGGTGGCTCAGTCATTTAAGCATCTGCCTTCAGCTCAGGTCATGACCCCGGGGTCCTAAGATGGAGTCCCTATCAGGCTCCCTGCTCAGCGGGAAGCCTGCTTCTCACTCTCCCTCTGCCCTTCCCCCTACTCGTGCTCTCTCTCTCTCTCTCATGCTCTCTGTCTCTCTCAAATAAGTAAATAAAATCTTGAAAAAATTTTTTAAAATATTTGTTAAAACTGAATCGCTATTGAATATTGATAACTATAATCCACACTTTATCACTTTTAAATGAAATTATCGACAAAAGAAACTGCCAAGTTCAGTGTGTCCTTCGAAATAAAACATCTCATAAGAATGCTAAAGAAATCACATCTTAAAAACACAATGACCTTATAAATGTCGTGTGTAACATATGTTACACAATTCATGTCCCAGGCCTGCTGTAATGAATGACCACAAACTGGGTGGCTTCAACAACAGAAACTTACTCTCTAGCGAATAAGTGAGTCCAGCAGATCTAAATCAAAGTGTTGGCAGGGCCATGGTCCTTCGGAAAGCTCTAGGGACGCACCCTTCTCTGCCTCTTCTGGGCTACAGCTGCATCACTCCAATCTCTGCCTCTGTCTTCACGTGCCGGTCTTCTCTCCGTGTGTGTCTTGTTTCTTCTCCTTAAAAGGACACCAGTCATTGCAACCCAGTACGACCCTATCTTAACTTGATTAAATCTGCTAAAACCCTATTTCCAAATAAGGTCACATTCACAGGTATCAGGGATTGGGACTCCAATTTGGGAACACAATCCAACCCACAACATTCCATTTACTTTTAGATCGCTTAAAAAAAAAAAAAAAAAAAAAAAACATTTAACAAGCCTATTTTTCTCACTGGCAGTTTCTCTAATACTAAACTCACAAGGAAGTGCTATCAAATTTTTTGATCTCTAAATATTGAAAATATTTAACAACTAGTATGGTACAGATTCCACCCAATCAAAATAGTTGCTGCCTCTCAGAATGCATTAACTGGTAAAAAAGAACCTGGCAGGGACAGAAGACTGTCCTTGGTCCAGACCAGAAAGGGTTTAGTGAGGTCAAAGTATGGCAGTGTGGAAAGGGCAGAGAGACCAGGCCTCGAGGAAAAGAGGTTCTGGGCAGAAGTCGGGCTTTGGGAATTCAGATCTGGTTCCAGGAATGGGCAAAAGCAAATAAAGTCCAAAGGCAGCATGGATTCCAAGGGCATAGACACAGAAGTCCGAAGAGCAGTTGGTTTTCGCTGGAACAGTTTTGTTCCCAGAGTTTAGAAGTCCTCTGTGTGGCTTTCTGTTTTTGCAGAGTAGAGCTGCAAATTCCTTTTCTGAGAATGGGCTATAAAGAAGTCATTCTAAATTTGGCTCCTTTGGTAGTTAGTCCTAAATTTTCCATAATACTTGCATTATAGAGGGTTTGGTGAAAGAGAATAACCTAATTTTATGCTGTTTTCATTAACAAAGGTCAAGGCATAGATAGATGAGAGATAGATAGATAGATAGATAGATAGATTATATAGATATATAGATATAGATCTTGATTCTGTCAACTTCAGACCTTGCCCAAAACACTGTTCCAGAGATTCCAAGATCAGGGCATTGAAAATAATCAGAATTTTGCACAGTTTGGAGATCTCTGCTTATCAGCATATCAATGAGATGATTCATGCATGAGGTTTGTTTAATCTTTTTGATTAATTTAATACTTAATTTCTTGACTTTTAGAGACTGACATAGCCAAAAGCGATGAAAAGACCAGCTTACCTACCACATACAACAACCAGGAAAATCAAAGAGTCTCAGATGGTAGGTATATCAATTGAAAAAAAAAAATGTCCTTTTTATCCAAGACTTAACACTAAATTTTGAAGAAAGGAATTTGATCATCTGTTAGCCACAAGGTGAAAATTAAATCTTTTATCACCCTCATCCTATATCAAAAATCGGATCATATTTAAAATCTATTAAAATTTTGAAGGAAATTAACAGGTATTCATTGAGCACCTTCTGTATACTGGTCACTGTGAGAGACACTGGAGACACAGTGACAGAGTTACAGCCACACAGATGTGTCTAGGGAAAGGAGCCCTGAGAATACGAAGAAGTAAATGCCAAGACGCACAATGAGTTAAAAAGCTCAATAAAACAAAGTAATACAGGTCAAAAGGAAAGAGAGTATATAATAAATAATCTAGAAAAGAGAATTCCTTGTAATATATGAAGAAGACTTTGTCGTATCTTCAAATCTAGTTGGGACTTAAGATGGCTAAAGATAATGAAATGATCATTTATTCAGAAACTCTGCTGGTTCTGTCACACAAGGTGAAAATATTCGAGATCTATTGTACAACAATGTATACATAGTTAATACTGTACTGTACACTGAAAAACATGTTTAAAAGGTAGATTTCATGTTATATGTTTTTAGTACAATAAAAGAAGAAAGAAAGAAAGCACACTAGGTCCTAGGGACATGAACATAAATACTGTTCTTGCTCTCAAAGTGCTCACTGTCTAGCATGGGAAACAACAAAGCCAATCAAAAACTACCCTGTTGAGGGGGGCCTGGTGGCTCGGGGTCAGTTAAGTGTCTGCCTTTGGCTCAGGTCATGATCCTGAGGTCCTGGGATCGAGCCTCATGTCCTCCCTGCTCAGCGGGGAGTCTGCTTCTTCCTCTGCCCCTCCCCCTCCCCCTGCTTGTGTATTCTCTCTCTCTCTCTCTCAAATAAATAAATAAAATCTTAAAAAAAAAAAAAAAACCTACCCTGTTGAGAAGGAAGTGGTATGTAGAGAGAGGCCCAGGTATAATGGAACCACACTGGGGGTCTCCTGATAGGGACAGCAATGTTAGGAAAGGTTTTCAAGTAGAAGTGACATGGCACCTGAGTCTGGAAGGATGAGTAGAAATTTCTCATGTCATGTAGTGAAAAAGAAGCCTGCAGGTGGATGATTCAGAGGTGGAGGTGGAGTCAGAGAAGCTGTGAAAGGTGTCCCACCAGAAGAAGACACATGGGCAGAGGAAGCATTTCAGGTGGCCAAGTCGTGACCAGAAGTGTGAACCCAAGGCAGTGTAAAGTTGTATTCAGAAAACAATAAACAGAGCAGCTGGGCTAGAGCAGAGGATCCCAAAATGATGAGTAGAACTGGAAGAGGCGCATGGAGGTCATCTCTAGTTTGGTTGGTTGAGAGCTCAGCCAAATGGCTGGTGGGTGGCGAGACAAGCGTGAAATGGCTGCTATTAGGCTTAGAGAACTAACCTGGCTTTCTCATTGGCCCCCTAGAAGATGATGGAGCCACCCAAATCACTGTCCGGAGGACTGTGGTGAGCTCAGTCCCAGACAGAATAGGTATTTATATAGTATCTCTAGGATGGGTGCAGCACTGTTGTTCCAGTTGGCCCAGCTGGTATTGAGCAATACTCAAGAAAATGACTGAGGGCTCCAAGGCCCTTGTGAGAGAACTGAGAAAAAACTGTCAGATCCGTCATGAGCAAGGTGACTGGCAGCTTTCCAGCATGGTTGAAAAAAAGCCAAGTTGTAGAGTATGTATTCCAGAGTTTAGGCATCAGAACGATCCAAGTTGTTAATTAAACTGTTAGATTCTTAGACCCTCTACTAAGTCATAATCTTACACAGACTAAAGAAGGTTAGTGGTGATAAAGTAGAGAAAATGGGGCTGATTTCAGGTTGTTTGAGGGGCTATGTGTTGAATGACTTTAGAATCAAATATCATTTGATAGTGCTTTCCACAGTGTGGGCTCAGTGGGTCGTAAAAAAATTTTGTGGGGGGCGGCTGGTGGCTCAGTCAGTTAAGTGTCTGACTCTTGATCTCAGCTCAGGTCTTGATCTCAGGGTCATGAATTCAAGCCCCATTTGGGCTCTATGCTGGGTGTGAAGCCTACTAAAAAAAGAAAAAAAATCGTGGGTGATGAAATCAATTTAACAACTGGCATTTTTTCCTTAAACTGGAATAAGAGTGATAAGAAAAGAGTAAGTGAGAAGAACAGATTTTTTTCCCAATGCACTAGAATAGAAAAGAAAAACAAAGATGAGTAAAAAAGATAAGAAAAGGGTAAGTCCTGTTTCATGTAACTTTTTTCTGTTTTATTGTAAGCACACAAGTATACATACTGAACTATAATGTAAAATGCATTTTTTACTGTGAGTCATGGTCAACCAAGTTTGAAAAACACTGACCTAGACCATTTCATAGTTGTTAGTTATATTCTAAATCCAATATGTTTTATCTAATTTTGGTTTCAGAATATAAAGATAGAATGTGTTCTGATCTAATCCAAGATGAGGAAAAAAACCTGGTTATGTCAGACACTAAGTCAATTGAGTCACATACCATCTCTGTAGTGCTAATGGTCATGACTCACGTTGTCGGGTCTTAGAGAATGACGTTGTGGTCAGAAGAATGTAGTCCGGTTCTCAAGACTCCATATAAAAGTGATCGGGCATCTTGCAGCTTCCAAAGAACAAGGCATTCAGAGAAACTTGGAATGGAAGCAACAGGACAGGAGAAAATGAGACTAACTTCAAAAATCAATGTGCTTTAGATACTAAAATCTCTGTTCTGCCCATTCTCTATTTACACCAGTGGATCTTTTAGATCTGATTCCTCAACCCATCTCTGAAAAGCCATACAGTCAAGAAACCATAAATGGTAGGTGGGGAAACAAAACATTAACTAGTCTTTTCTTATTCAATTAATAGAACTGGGTAGAAGAGATCAAGTGTCCCCCAGATATAATTCTTTTCAAACCCTCCTCCCGTCACATCCCCAGCTTTGTTTGCTGACACTTTTGGAACCTCCCTTCCTACATTTATAACCAGGGCTATGTCAATGGCAACTGAATCCTTCCTTCAGAATGAGTAAGTAAGGAAATGGACACAGATATATCGGCAAGTCCAGATTTTCAAAGTCTATAACATAGTTGTCATGGTATTTTTTGAAAACCAGGCTGATATAGACTTCTTCGGGGTTGACCAGTCAGGATATTCACCCACGCCTCCACATTCTTATTTGAATGTCCAATAAAATGAACAAATCCATGGTACCTTCCATTCTGAAAATGTATAGGATGATGGGCTTTGGAGTGGGGCTAACTAGGGGGAATTGGAATTGGTACATAGACGAGAAGCAGGGCCAAGAGAAGAAATGGAACTGACCATGTAGCAGCAAAATTCAGAATGGGAAGCAAAGGAACCAAGCAACACTGCAAGTAGAAATAGATTAAGGTCAGGAGGGAGGCCAGAGTTTAGTTTTGCTGTATGTAAAAGATCTAATGATGGTCTTGTGGTTTGATGTCTCTCATAGATAGAATCCCTCTCACACACACTCCCTCAGTTGAATCAGATTGAATACGGGAATCCAGGAAACAGAAGAAAGAGGAGAGCAAACAAAAAGCTAATAAAAACATAGTTTACTAATGGATTTTTAAATAGTTACACCTTTTCATTCTCCTTTTACAGATTCTGAAGACAAAAGTGTGGAAGAGCAACAGATAAATTAGACCAACTATAAAGATACTTGGTGGTGTAATAAATTTGGAAAGACCCATGAATGCCTGTATTTAGGGAAGATACCCCTCCACCTGGTCTGGGGGCAAGCATGGGATCCAGTTTTGTACAGTGATACATAAGAAGTTTTCTGGAGATGTATGGGGGGCAGATGGGGTTGGAGATAGTTTGCAAGATTGACTTCCATCTTAGATAACATTATGCTAGACAATAACGTGACTGCACACACACAAAAAGATTGAGTTCAATCATTTTGTGTTACCTGAATTCACTCATAGGTTTGCTTATTGTCCTATTTTCTCATATAGTTTGGTGTCAATTGCTGTTTTTTTAAACTACATTAAAATACAATGGTCAGTCATTGCATCCTTGCCTGTACATGCTTCTAAGAGAGACTGCTTCCCCCCACAGGCCATACCTAAGGCATGGACATGAGTGGCCATGTGTGCTCGGCTGTTCTTACCACCTTGGCTTCACTGATTCTACTAAAATAAACACACCCTACTCAAGGGGAAACAATTAGATTTTCTCTCACGGTGTCGAAAAACTTGCACTGAGAAAAATGGCTAAGTTGATGTCTGGATCATGGTAAAGGCAGTGACTTAGAGAGAGCCACACAGTTTTGCTGTGAGGTCTTCAGAGCGAGTCAGGTTCACCAGCTTCATAAGGTCTGGCTGTATATTCTTTCTCCTTGCATTTGCTTGGGATAATTATCTTTACAATAAATCACACTTTTACTTTAGCTCAGATGGGATAGGTTTCTGTTTCTTGACACCAGATATGGCCTGAATAAATGGAATTTTGAAAGGAAAGCATAATATTTTTACCATATACTTACATGGTTTAAGTAAAAATTAGTTTTATTAAAGCAGTAGTAGTCAAACCAATATGCTCATATATTTTCAAGCTAATAGAACCCTTTACAAATGCCAATTAAGAACTTTTGAGAGCCCAGGAGTCACTTTAAAAACTGCTGATCTCTGTGCTTTCTCTGTAGTTTAAATAGCTTTTACAGTACAAATTACTTTCTGAAAATTCAAGAAAATTTCAGGTGCTCCTTCATTGCTTCTGCACCATTATGATTCAAAACTGTGACTAACTTTTGCTTGTTTCCAATATCATCACCTCATTTGATGTTATTGTAAAGAAAACTTAATGTCTGTCAGTGTTAAGGACTTTGGGTAAGGTTTGGTGCCCTAATTCTACCATTTCCCCTGCCTCGGCTTGTGGTATCCTCAAGGGAGTATGACCACAAAGAACACTAACTGGGTGGGAAGTCATATGGTGCTCTACACATCACTGGGCAGGTGGCGGGCATTCATCCACATACAGGGCTTCTTCCTGGTAAAACTGAGCTAGATTGGAAAATGTGACTCAGGCCAAGAAACTCAAGCAAAGCTTCCTATTCCTTCCCCCTTGAATTGGGCATGCCGGTCACGTATCAGCAGAAACCAGATGGCAAAGCTGGAATAGAGAATATAACTATGAAGATCCATCACCTTTCGAGGCAGGGCCCTGCCCCTTAGTGATATACTTTCCAGTGGGTGAAGCCCTAACCATTCAGATAGTCAGCAGCTTCTTTAGGTGGGCATCTAGAAGCGGCTGGAAAAAGACAGGGGCAAAGTTTCTCCTTTGTAGAGACACTGTAGGAAACATTCAGCCCCATCTCCAGCAGGCTGTTCTTTCCAGCATGAATATGAGCTATTGTATGTTTAAACCACTATAGGATGACCAGGATACTCTAGAATAGACTCCCATAGGAGCACACAACAAATTGATATTAATCATTATACATAGTATCACACGTTTGTTCCAAATCAATATAAAATATGGAATTACACCAAAGAAAAGTATTAGTGTTTGCTATTTGTTTAAGAATAATGCTGGTACCATTTCAAAAACATCTCTCAGAGAGTTTTGTTTCAGCTAATGCACTAGCTGTCATGGTAGCCTGATGTGAATAATAGGCCAACTTGGGAAATCTCAAGTCTGGTCTTCCCATTAGAAATAACTTTAATATGAGATTATTAAAAATAATTTCTCTCTATTATTAAAACTGTCATGATAAAGACATGAGGGAGAAATATTCAGTAGTTAGATTACTCAGACAGAAGCAGTATGCGAAAAAAGTAATTACCGGTCACAGAAATATAGGTTAAGTGTATATGTCCTTATAACTATAGCAAGCACTGTTACTTGCTCTCCCTACAGCCCTGCCCCATTACCTTGACTAAGAGAACTCTGATTTTATTAGGATGTACAATAGGCCCAAACCCAGGGCATGGATCTTGCTATAGCTAATCTAGTCCCATGTGCCAGTGACTGGTCTGGGGGCAAGCATGGGATCCAGTTTTGTACAGTGATACATAAGAAGTCTTCTGGAGGTATATGGGGGGCAGATGGGGTTGGAGATGAATGAATGGCATAGGAAAAGATAGCACTCTGGCTTCCACCAACTTCCTTCCTGTGTAAAATGCTCTTCTACCAGGATATAATGCTTGCAGCTTGGGCAGCCATTTTGTGGCTATGAGAAGACACATCAATAGTACAGTGCTACCAGGAGGGTGGCAGTGTGGAAAGAGGAAAAGCCTGGCATCTGGGACTGAGACCTTGATGAATTAAAAGAGCCTCTCGACCGACTTCAGAATTTCTGTCAAATAAACAATAAACAACTTATGGTTTAGACCCCTGTTAGTTGTTAGCCAGTGGAGATATATATACATATATATGTATGACACTTACGGCCAACAGCTATATAACTTGATAGAGAAATATCTTTCAATTTGTTACTATTATTTGTTTCAGAGGAACGAATAAGAAATATATTTAGAAAATCTGAACAATTGACTTCACCCACTCAGCCAGGCTCAAAACCTTTATTGACTTCTATATTTATAATATTTATAATATTCTCCCCAATTCCAGTTAGTAAATGCCAGTTCAGTCCTAGACCAGTGTTTTTCAACATTAGCATGAATCAGAATCACCTGTTAAAACAGATTGCTGGGCCCACCTCCAGAATTTCTAGCTCAGTAGGTCTCAGGTAAAGCCTGAGAATTTGCATTTTTAACAGTTCTCAGGTGATGGTGATGCTGCTGATCTGGGGACCATACTTTGACCAGCACTGCCTAACCTATGGCAGTCACACCCTAAGTCAGCCACACCCCGTTGCCTTCTACTCACACCTACACCCCAGATAATTTAGTCTGAATTTCACTTTCTGACCACAGGATTCCTCTTCATACTTACCAGTAAATTGTTTTAGGCCCCCTTAATGTTATCCAAACCGGTCTACCACAAACCTAAAGCCTTAGGTTTGCAGCCTGCCTTGCTTTTACACACACCATCTGCCCTGCCTAGTGTGTCCCCAAACCTTATCTCATTGAAGCCCCTTTAGGTCTGACACAGTGGGTGGCCTTCTCTTGATCAAATCATTATTTCTTTTTATCTCAGAGAAATGAAAATCATGGGACCCAACATATAGAAATAGGTTAATGAGCCTTTTTCCTCCCTCTACTCCCTACCAGGTACAAGTGGGGGATGATGTCCTATATAATTGTCATTTGCTCCTTTGCTGGCCTTAACATAAATATCTTTAACTCTAAAAACAAAACATCTTTAACTCTAAAATTGCCTTGTACCACAGCTGAATGCTCACTCATTCTGCAGAGGACACAGAAAGGTTACCCAAGCTTATAGCTGAGCTGCTAGAAGCAAAACTAATAACCCTCCCAAGAGTGAGCAGCTGCTCTGTCCTTCACATTAATTTCTTTTGGGCAGAAATTATGAGCCCACAGAGACATCTAATCACAACTTTCTCACTTCATTGGTACAAAGAAGGATGATTTCTATACAAAGGGGCCAGAAGCAG